ATGGTTCAATTTTATTTCAATAATTCGCTTGCGCGTAGGGGTCTTTAGCAGTGGGAGGAAACCGGAGGACCCGGAGAAACCACACGAGGTTGGACAGGCGACCCTACTCCTTGTCACGTACAACCGAGAATTCGAAACCACGCCAGTTGACTTAATGACAGACTTTATGATACGCGCAAACCACTCGGCCCACCCCCACCCCCACGAAGTATATTTCTGTGATATATTATATTAAAATCAAAGTGGTTTATGTGCCCGATTGGTCTATGGTCAGTCAGCGTAAATTGTCTCTGGATTTCCCGTTTTGTACGTTTAAAAGCAAACATTTTCTTTTGTAGAGCACATACAAAAGGCATAAAGGCTAACCTATTTAAATGCTACTATTTCCATCAGCATACAGTGTGCGAATTCATTGACTGATCAATTACGCAACCACAACTTAAGGTGAAGCAACTTATTCACAATTTATTATACCAGTAGTTTTCCATGAATGAGTTCTTCGTGATTCATAGTATATATCTTTAGAGTTCTGTTGAAAAACACATTTACCATCCATGACTAATGATGATGTTGTAATCCTTGATCCTAAGTAATTACAAATGAAATATATTAGTGCCAGACGTTGCGGGGGATATAGTGTTAAATTTTAAATGTATAAGGGTATAATGAAAGTGTGAACAGTTCTAATGTGAAGTGGTATCAGGTGTTCTAGATAAAAGTAGAAATACTCACAACGTATTTATAGCTTATAATGGAGCCCTAGTTTGGATTTCAGACGCCGAAATTATAATCAAGCTACTGGGTATAAGTCCCCCCACCCCGTCATTCGGGGCCGCGGTGGCTCATTGAGTAAGACGTTGGCTCTCTAACTTGGACGTCCGTGTTCGATCCCGAACCTGGCCGAAAAAATTCATCTGGATTTTCTGATGTGGTTCCCCCTTGTCATTGATGCAAGACAGTCGTTCGGATGTGACAAAAAAAAACGGGGCTTCGTGTACACATTGATGTGCACGTAAAATAACCGTTGACAGTTGGAATTCCAAATAAGAGTAGACCTTAGCACCGATGTATTTCCCTTGTAGCACACTGCATGGCGCATGCTCTGCTTCATTAGACCAGTCGGAGCAGAAAATCCCGGCCCAACCTCTTGTCCCAACTGATTGCATATGAACTAAAACGTTCAGGACACTAACCTGATAAGTACAAAAGGTCTATCTCTAATATGTTCGGAGCCACGGTGACTAGATGGTTAAGACGCTGGCTCGCTAGCCTGGAGGTCGGGTGTTCGATCCCTGCATTGGCCGAGATAGTTCATCCAGATTTTCCGACGTGGTTTCCCCGTGTCAGTGGTGATGAACGGAGGGCCTGACATAGACAGCTGTCTAGTCCTTCGGATGAGAAGAAAAAACGAGGTCCCGTGTATATATTGGAATGCACGTAAAAGATCCCCTGGCAGTTGGAATTCGATATAAGAGTAGGCGATAGTGCCGCTGCCCGGCAAAATTTCCCTCATTAGCCCAGTATAGGAGCAGAACAGTAGGACGTTAAACCCCATTTCATTCCATTTTCATTTCTAATATGTTCGTATATCCTGGTAGAACAAAACCCATATACAATAAAAATAGATTTTATACTGTTTCAAGGCCCCATTATAGAGGCTATATCGGTCATCAATTATTGATGTTACTTAAACATACCTTATACAAGAGCTAAATCTGCCAATTGCAGGTCTTTCTTTAGGCCTGAAATGTTCTCTAAATGATTAATTAGACATTAATTAACTTATCCAGACCACAATCAACTCTCGATATCATCGCTAGCCTGCGAAATGTACTGGATTAGAACCCGATCTCCTGCACAACGTTCATTGGATAATCGAGACTATGTTTTTTTATGTACCGACACTGTCGCCCGCAAATTTACTAATTATTAAGTCATCTGCACCCTGTTTGTGAGGATACGCCAGAAACGTCTGCCGATGGTTCGTAACTCAAAAAAAAATATTCAATTTGATGATAGCTGGTCTGCTGGCTGAATATGAGTGCGAGACGATTTCCTGGGGCTGGTTTTAAACATTCCTTGACATTTTTATTAACTCGTTATATTATTTGACAGAGATTATAATCAGATATGCCACCAAATCGCATATTTGGGGTTCATTTTTCAAAATTTTCCCGGGGGGGAGGGGGGGGGGAGCCGGCCCCAACCCGCCCCTTCTTAAGAATAATACTTTGGTAGATAATTGTGTGACCACAGTGTTTAGTTATAGTAACGATTCCTATGATATTTACATCATAAAGTTGATGATAAGACATTTTGCGACTAGCATATTTAAGCGAGCGAAAGAAATGTGAACAAAAAAATGTCCGTGTTTTACCCTTACGGGGATTTGCTCTGTGTATACCCAACTTGAGCAGAAACATAATCGATATCACTATAATATGAGGAGCCGGAAGTAAAAACTCCCGAAGGTTCACACGGCTCATGGGGTAGCTATACGTGATTGGGCGATGTTGAAGTTTCCTCAGCCAAAAAGAAAAGAAATTTAGACATTATAGTTCTAAGCTAGATAAAAAAAATGCAGTCTAATTAGTATTATTTCTTACTGTTGTAATTTGTTTCAAATTTTATTTCAGTACAGCGTCAAATTAACACACATTCTATTTTTAAATAAGCGGTAATACTGATAAATATAAGAGAATTTTTCATAAAAATGATTTCGTTAAAAACTTTAACGTATGGCGAATATCCGGAATCCATTTTGCGTGGTTGAGAATTAACTTCATTTGTTTTGAAATATTCGAAAACCATAAGTAATGACTTTTAGAGTCTATTTCTGTTTGAGACAAAGAGATGTTTTACTATGAAAACGCGTATTTATGTGAAAAATAGATGACACCGTATATTAACCTAATAATTGAAGTGGGTAAAAATGACAATTTTCAGGAGGAAAGTGACACATAACGGAGGCGTTCAAACGTAAGTTAAATATTATGGTTTTCTACTTTGTCTTAATTTCCCATTCTTATTCTTTAAGTTAGTAGGGCATCTTTAAATATAAACCAACTAAACTATTGTCGTTTAATTGTAGGGATGAGGTAACATATGGTTTTTCTCAACAATGTAACACATATTTCATTATAAATAGGGTAAGTTTATAATAAAATGCATTAGTTAAAAATGGTATATCGATTTGGTTCAATTTGGTGTCTTAGTTTGGATTTTTGAGATGCATTATTAACTAGATTTAAAACGTTTAGTGCTCATAAAAGCTGTATAGATTTAACTGAAATATTTTTTTTATATATATAAAACATAGGTCCTTTGTAGTAATGGACTGTAATTTGTCTACTGATTAAAGTCCACAGAACTAAATATAAAAATAAAATTGTATGGATCTTGCCACATCACCAATCAAGCGTATACATAACATATAGTCAGAATTATAATCTTTATTTTAACTCTAAAAATGAGAACTGGTATTAGGTGTGCAAGAAATGTCAATCATTTACCATATTGTGCACGAACCAAATGACTTTTATTATTTAAGCCAAGTTTTGACTTTTAGGTCAGCAGCTAATTTGGTATAAGTATCTTAGTGTTGAGGAAAATTACACTGGACTAAATTGTAATCGGTATGATTCCTTTAAATATTAGTTTCTATACATTTGGTAAAAATTGGAGATGAATTTGTCGTAGCCTGAATGTGTCGCAGCTTCTATAAACTGCCGTTAGATTAAATTTTTACCGTTGTCAGTCATTACATCTTTTTTGTCCAACAGGGTTTAAATGGTAAACTTTTAAACATCTTAAGGTTTATATATATTATATATCTATCTATCTATACTAATATTTGTGACTGTCGTTTGTCTGTCTGTTTGTCTGTCTGTCTGTCTGTTCGGGGTTGGCGGCTAAACTAGGTCTGCCCCGAGTCTGAAATTTGTGGTATAGGGGTAACTCGGACCGGGGAGTAACATAGGCCAGGTGGCGTTAGTCTACCACTTCCGGTTTCGGGGTTATGACCCCGAGCGAAGCCGGGCATTCTTCTTATGTAATATTTTATATTTTAAATATTTATATACCTAACAGATTGATTTTATTTCTAAATTTATTTACAGTGATAGTGTTTTTATTTATGCGTATAATTTGTTTTGTGACTAGCAAGTCTCGAAAAAATCACTATATGTTTGGCACAACAATCCCTGACTTGCCATTAAATTCATTCATTCATCATTCATTCATTCGCTTCTATAAACTAGATGGTGGTATGGTTATTTTAGCGATGGAGTCTTAGTGTTTAAGACAGCTAAGTTCCTGTTTCCTGAACTTCATTTGAGTAATAAGTAGTAAACAGACTGTTTACATTATGTTACATGTGAAGGATTAATATCCTACTCCTTGTCACATACAACAGGGGAATCGAAACCACGCAAGGGTCGCCTGTTCAACCTCCTAGATTTTCTCCGGGTCCTCAAGTTTCCTGCAACCGTTAAAGACTCCTACTCGCAAGCGAATTATTGAAATAGAATTGAACCATATGTTAGTCCCGAAATGACCTAGTTTCTCTCTCTCTCTCTCTCTCTCTCTCTCTCTCTCTCTCTCTGTATTATAGTTGTTAACCCAGTTCATAATAGTACATACATATTATACACATATTATGCCAATGACGTCTTCAAAGCAAATCTTTTCATTAAGTGTCAAGTATACATAAATAATAAATGTATTTTCATACTATTCAGTTGGTTCAATACACGTGTACGTATACAATTATGTGCAGCTTTTGTCAATCGTGGGTAAGGTCGACATGTGACGTTGAGCAGTTGTACTTTAAATTGTTATAATTGAAGGTCCATTCATCCATAAACGTAACGCCAACTAAGGAGTTCAAGTCGTACGTCGTTGAACTATGTGGAGTCAAATGTCACTTTCTAATTTAAAAAAATAGACTTCCAGAAAATATCTTTATAGATAACTACTAAAGTATCAGTATGCATATAATGAAAATGATTGGGTGTTATGCTTGTACTGCTCCTGACAGGTGTTTATATATATAGGTTCAGGAGTATGTAGGTTGAGAATGGGTGTGAAATAACTTTATTTTACGTTCGTTTCCACCGAAGTGATATCGCAGACAAGGTAGAGAATCAAATTGGCAAGTATAAGTTCAATAATAATAAACATAACAGAATGAAATATTTCAGACAAAGATCGAATAGTAATAATAATATCAAAAGTCAAACATATATCTGTTAATACATATTTGAAATCAGCGAAACATACTACAGATATTGATTATCCTATTAAATATAAATGAATTAGAAATATATACATTATTATACTTTAGCTACAATCAAGGCCAGGGCAAATAATTTGAAATCGTGGAAACCCTATGGATTAACTCTGGGTATAGTGGAGTAGAACGGAATGAGTACACTGGGGATACCAAGGATGATTCAGAATATGGAACAGTGGAGGCTATTCATACTGTACATTCAGAACATTGAACCATGGAAGATCTTCAGACTGTGCATTCAGAACATGGAACCATGAAGGATATTCATGCTGTACATTTAGCGAATGGAATCATGGAGGATATTCATACTGTACATTTAGAACATGGAACCATGGAATATCTTCAGACTGTACATTCAGAACATGGAACCATGGAGGATATTCGTACTGTACATTCAGAACATGGAACCATGGAAGTTCTTCATACTGTACATTCAGAACATGGAACCATGGAGGATATTCATACTGTATATTTAGAACATGACACCATTGAATATCTTCAAACTGTACATTTTTGACTAGAGTACTAAAGATTAGCATATTTACAATGTACCAAACGACTTTCATTTTAGAAATTGATACGTAGGAGAGTGGGAGGGGCGGTAAGATATCTTTATATTTAATCCAAAATCTCAAAAAGTAATAGAAATAGATGCGTGTGCTACTGAAAGATAGCTAGTATCTCGTCATAGATTATAAAAGTATTATCATAAGAAATACGTCATAGATTATCAGTATTTTATTTAATCATCATTGCCAGATAACATTGATATTTAGCGCATATATCATCATATTTTTAATTTGTCAGTAAATATTAACTTCCGATCTACATCTATAAATAGTTAAAACCCTTTAAATCCGTCGCGGATCGTGGTTTTCCGTTTAGCCAGCAGTTGCTATCGTCTTTTAAAATAGTATGTTACATCATCTTCTTTGAAGCGAAGCGCGAATCCGAAATTTGACTGGATATTCCTTCGAATAAATAGTCGAGGAATGTTTTGGAGAAAAAAAAAACCTAACATGGTAGCGTTTACAGTGTCGGAGAGACGGCATATTCGTTGTTTGTATTCGTTGTTTCATCCGTTTGACTAGCCGAGCAATTTCATGACAAGTTTGAAATAAAAACATCAAAACTTATTATGACCTTTTCATGTTTATAAGAATTGTGATCCAACGGGTTAACTTATGGACAATGATGACAATAATATACTCCCACATGTGGTGGTATATATAATATACATATTATTCATCATTATCTGGAAACGGTTTGTTCTTGATTATAGACACTGAACATTAAACATATCAGTACATATCAGCAATATTATTAAATAATGTATGATGAAATTAATGAAAAAAATGAGGCGTTTTTACGCATTCTGTTTGTTTTTACAAAATAAAAATCAGAAATATTTCGAAATTGATGCGCCGTTAAGTCATCGGTTAAGGTAGGCAAATTTGTTTGTTGTAACTCTAAATAAACATGCAGTTGAATGATGTGCCGTCATAGCGGTGCCATGGAAACTTGTCTCACGTCTGGCCTTTACGCAATTTTCAAATTACGAGGTGCTATAGTTGCATCTTTCTCACATTTTATTACGTTTGATGTTCTAGCCTCTATATTTTCATTCTTGTTTTATGGACTGTTTATTATTTTTCTTTATTTCTTTACTCCTGTCGACATTATAATTACAAAATCGTTTAGACGTTTCACCAAAGTATGAATAAAAGCAGTCAAGGTAAAAACAAAGAGTAGAATGGGTGGAATTGATTAGCGATTAATTTATTTCACGACAGAGTAAGCGGAAGTCTACTTTTTTACGAGTTTTTGACTGATGTCGATGGTAGAACACAAAATAGATTTGGCTTTATCTATATATAGCAGCAGAATTTTCAACGAATACAGATTGTCATTCCACAAAATATAAAATCCAATTGATATGACAATTTTATTTTTTTTTACCAAACTCAAAGAGGTCTAGTGAGTGTGATTTATGTAGTCTGGTTTGATTCGAATATACACCTCTAATTGTTATCTATATTTTACATAATTGTATATAGAAACACATATTTCACATTGATATGGCTTAATCAGAGACATGACGTAACTTTCAAACTAAAAGAAAACTGATAATGACATTTTTTAAAAAAATTAAAAAAGCCGAAAGCTGATCTAAATAATAAACGCAAAATGTTAAATATTTACGTTGTTTGGTCTTTGTTCCTTTTAAATATAACAAATCCTGAGATTAAATAAATTATTGTAGTTATAGACTGCAATAACGAAACTATGTCAGCAATTTGGTAGTATTTCGACATCTTTCAATTTTTTTTAGGCCAAGGCTGTTTGGAGTGGCACACCCCCGCGTTCCACAATGTTATACTTGATTGAACCTTTAGCGATAATATTACAGAGGATATAGGCTATACTATAGTGTATCAGTTTATCTTTAATAAGGAGGAGATATCTCTTCAACATCCTTAGTTTCATACATACCATTCTTCCTTATGTGTTTACAAAACGGGCATATAAAGAAAGATAGTTAGGTCAAACCAATCTTAACCCAATCTATACAATTATATTTTCCAAACCTTGACCTGTGGATTATTGCACCATAGACAAATAATTTAGGTCTAGTGTAACTATAAAGTTAAATACTAGACCACAAATTATTCAAGGGGGATGGGACAAGACTCAATAACCGGTTTGCATATAAGGGCATATAAATTATGGGAGATTAGATAAAGAGCTGGCAGTTCTCACTATAATAGTTAAAAACTAAATAATGTAAAAGGAATTTGCTGACAATTTCAGTCAAATTGGTCCACTCTGAACTGAGAATTTAGCGATTGAATTTTGGGCCTAACCGCGATCATCATTACTAAAGTCGGTGTTATAAAAAAAACATAGTCTCGATTATCCATTTGTTAATTGAATCATCAATGAGCGTTGAGCAGCAGATGGGGGTTCTAATCCAGTAAATATCGCAGACAACTCATTAACGGGGCCCCCAGCAACACCCGGATAGTGGAAAGTATAATGGCTTATCTGTGATTCGCAGAGATTGAGGGTAGTGACCAATGACGAGCTTAGGGCACTTGACTTACGACTAATCGAGATGTATACCATACAGGACAACGGATTCCACTTATCATCTTTGGAAAGTTACTATGAATGTATAACTGGATATGTTGAAGCTTCGTCTTTGATAACATTACCCTGGAAGTAGATGGTAAACATCAACTAATTAGCCAGTCATCGTTCACATGGTAACCCGAAAACCAAAGAAACCAATGTTAATTTTAAATGCCAATAACTTATGTTAGAAATGATGTAATATGTTTTTAAAAGTATATGGTCGTAAACTCTATTAATTGCATTCTAACATAACCGTACCCATAAAGAATTTAAATACATACTGTATGAAGAGCCGCCAAGTTCGATTCTATTAAATGTCATATCGATTTAGTTGGGGTGGTGGGGGGTGTAGCAAAAAGGAGACCGGCTGATTCACATGCCCCTGATACGAGTGACGCAGGCATGAGCTGGGGATATTGCAGAATTCTGATGGCCAGAAAACGGTTTATAACATTTCAGTTTACAGAAATGATACATTGTACCCCAGTGAGGCAAAAAAAAAAAAAAAAAAAAAAAGCACAGCCCAAAGAAAAATATTTGACTATATTAAATACAATTTGGACATTGTTTCTATTTAAAAAAAACACCCCCAGAAACCCTGGTATTAAATATAAGAAGCAATGGAAATGGGTCAAGGCTTGGGTTTTCGTTAATTAGTAAAGTCTAAGGTTATTTTGAATATATTACACTCATTTTCTTTGTGACACTGATAATGCCTCTTTAAAAGATTTCAGCTACGCAAATTACAAAATGAAATGGAATGGGGTTTAACGTCTTACAAACCAACCGAAAACGGGTGTACTCCACGTCTATGCTATAGCGGGTGAGGGGATTTTGCCCGGACAGGGGCGTGTACATCATCGGATTTCAATTGTCAGATTTTTTTTATATCACGTGGACGTCCAACGCCTACCCTCCGGCATCCCTCGCCCCCCCCCCCCCCGCCCAATTACAAATATTGTGTTCAGGTGCTCATGCAAAATTAACGGTAACCACGTCCCTGTATCCTTGCCCGACAACCCGTCTTGCACCAGTGATGAAAGTCCAGAGAAACTTTAATTGGTAGAGGTAAGAATCTTAGTAGAATGGGCCTGTGTTCAAGAACCAGATTATGGACTGAACTTGTTTGTGCGCCAAAAGTGCCAAATTGGGTATGTTCTTTCAGAAAGTTTATTCTAGCATAAATACATCCCATAATTAAGAGAAAAGGTTGTATAAGATGATAATGTGACATTATTTAGAGAGTACGGGTGCAGAATAATCTACCTAATAGGTTCAGACTCCACCAATGTGCACCATATCCGAGGGCGCTCTGAAATGCTGTCATGAGTCAGTCGAATTGATGTAACTCGTCCGCACATATAATTGTTACAAAAAACCCACCTCTTATTATATTTACTATTTCTGGAAGATGCCAACGTAAACAAATGAAGCAAGAAGTAATAGCAATGCGTCTATCATAGTCGTGATTTAAGTCCATGACCTCACAGAAATGCGCGCGTAACGTCAGTCCGCCAAACGTTTACGTAGAGCACAAAATCTGATTATTTTAAGGTGTTTTTGGTCCAATTACACATATTCCTTTGTAGTAGAGTTATTTTAAGATCTTGTTAGTTCTAAAAACAGACATCACCAGGACTAGCAATGAGATCATAAATAATAACCTGCTTCGTCCATTCATAAAGTCAATTTGCCTTAGGCCCATGACGACTTCCAACAATCGAACGTCAATGCCATACAAATCTAAACTAAATCGCCAAGCGCAATGTAACAAAACGAAAGACATACGGTTATTGTCAGAGGCTCCATTGATGGTGTCTAAATATAAATAAATAATGCAATCTTTACACACGTCAGAATAACGTTGTTGAAAATAAAGGATTATTTTCTTTCCGCCTATTTATTTACGTATTATACTATTAAAATGATACAATTGAAACCCACACTTAAAGGAAGTTATTTATTCGAACAACCATTTAAGTAAAGCGACAATTTTATTGAAGTGCATGGTCATGTCGGCATTAAATATAGGTCATTGGTATGCTATTAATTTGTGTCTAAATTTATACTTGGGGTTAGTATTATAGTTCATTTTTAAATGAATCGCCCCGCTCCACCCCTTGATTGCTAAATCAGCAAACATATCCAATCATTGACTCATTAAGTGATAAAATATTGTTTAAATTACAAATGGATCCGTTGAAAGCTACACAAAGTGAACACATCAGTTAAAGGCTACACGAATGGAAATTCATTTTAAAGTTGTAAAGCGTAAATCAGAGCGCACTACTACGAAATAAAATAAAAATCTATTTGATAAAAACAAAAGCATGTATCTTTAAAGAGTATCTTTAAAGATACCACAAAAAATATCAAGATTTTAAGAGAAAAAAAGGTCAGTGTGCATGTTTCTTTTTTTGAAAGGAGTGGATAAATGATCGAGTGGTAATCAAAAAGATAAGTACGAGGTAATATGGACCAAAAACCTAGTGTGGCGTCACCATCGCCATCTTCGAATTGGATTTCAAACGATGCGCAAAGCGCTTGTGATCTGCAGTTCCAGATCCAAATAAGTAAATAAGTAAAATACTGAACCGTAAAGTAATGCCTAACCAATCGAAACAAAAAGAAATCTCAAAGTTCCTTGGTGTATGTATAGTGAACGTTAAAAGGTACGTTAGACAATCACTTAAAAAAAGAATAAATTATGGAGGAATGTTCAGGCCATGACGTCAATTTGAACAGTAAACATAATATTATTCAAGTCAAACAATACACAAGAAAGATCCTAGACCAAGCCGTCTGCACCCCTTCTTTCAAACTTTGAGAAACAATCGTCCAGGATTAGCGTGCATACTGCGTAGAAACTGCAGCGTGTGTCGTCCAATCATAATGATATTGCTGACCATGTGTCATATACATGTCACTTAAGATTTAGCCGGTATGTTGTTATCCGCAATTTAACTTACGTGTTTATTGTTTACTGTTTAAATTAGAGCGT